AGCTGTTAGGTTAGGTTGTTAGGAAAATGCTAAAAAGTTCAAAGTTTTCACTCTAATAACTATAGGTTGTCCTAATGTCTTTTTGCTCTCTGAATGTTCCAGTTATAACAAGATCGTACACACAAAATATAACAATACTTCTCAGTATAGTGACACTGTTTTTTAAAAAAGGTGCAAACTCTACTTAATTTATTTTAGGAAACAGTCAGACAAGCAAATCAACCAACCAAAGGGAATATGGCAAAGTAACAATACAGAGAGAAAAAAAAATTACATAAATGTTCTGAAATACCTGCAGAAGGTGTGAATAAATACCACAACCACAATACTACTGCAGTTTAGGACCTTTCATGAAGTAGCAGGGAAAATGAAGTATTTAAAAGCAATAATGTGACAGACCAGGAATATGCTGTTGTTTATTGTTGATTACTGTTGATTTTAACTTACTCTGCAAAAAGTTTTTATATGCAAACAATTCTAGGAACTGTTTTTGAGAAGGGAAATTTAAAAACAAAGGGCATGTTTTGTAATTCAGAGTCATGTTATCATGTATATGTGTGAAAGTAATATGGGAAGAGTGGTCTGAAAACAGTTCCTTATTAGATTCCTTGGTCCCAATAACTTCCGTAATCTTGTGTGAATAAAGCAGCAGCTAGAAAACATTCAGCTAGCAGCTGGCCAAACAAAATATTCAAAGTTTATGAAAATAAAATGAGGGAACTCTATGAACCAGTGGTGGAATCATAGAATCATATAATCATACAGTGGTCAGGGTTGGAAAGGACCATAAGATCATCTAGTTCCAACTCCACTGCCATGGGCAGGGACGCCTTACACTAGACCACGTTGCCCAAGGCTCTCTCCACTCTGGCCTTGAACACTGCCAGGGATGGGGCATTCTCCATGTCTCTGGGCAGCCTGTCCTAGAATGGTAGATAAATACAGGTATTGTGGCTGATAACCTCATGGAAATCCATGTCCTTCCACCTATTCTTTTGTTAGTATTTCAATATTGTTCTTTACTGTGCACGTCAAGCCAGAATGTGGCCCACACCAGGGATGCTCAGTCCAGGAACTGACAGCTTTTGGAGCAAACCTGGGGAATTGGCAAGAACTGGACTCTTGTCTTGTAGCTCAGAGAGCTCTGCATGCAAAGCAGAGCACAAGGATCAACCAGCCAAGACCAGACATGACAGCCCAATTCCTAGGAAAGGAAGAAGCATCTAGCCTTCCTGGGGATGGCATATGGATAGTTTGGCCAGAGCTAGCTGCAATTCTGACAGCCATTCATTCCTATCAGACAATGCTGAACAGCCTCCAGCCCCAGCAAACACTTCCCCCGATCTGAACCCGAACCCACAGAAAAAATAAGGATTATCGGTGACACCAGTATTACTGGTGAGAAGGATGGGATGACACTCAAGCATGGAACAGGCAATCCATGCCCAGAGGATCCCACCTAGACAGAGAATATGGAAGAGGTCTGTTGTCAACCTACAGCAGTATGCCTCGGGCCCTATGTCTCCTCAACAGGCGAAGTAAAATTGTAAAGGAGCAAACCAGTGCAACCACTGAAACCATATCCGGTACACAAAGAATGAGGAAGAGCTTTGATAGTTTTAGCCAGCGTCCTTTTTTCCCTTTCTTTTCCCTGATCCCTTCTTCTCCTTCTCCCTTTCCTTCTCCTTCTCCTTCTCCTTCTCCTTCTCCTTCTCCTTCTCCTTCTCCTTCTCCTTCTCCTTCTCCTTCTCCTTCTCCTTCTCCTTCTCTTTCTCCTTCTCTTTCTCCTTCTCCCTCTCCTCTTTATTTCTATTTTTATGTTATTTATTTATGCTTCTTTTTTTTTTTTTTAATTTATTTTTCCTACTTAGAGGTTTGGGGTATTCAAAGATAATTTAGAAACAAGGGGGACACTGTCAAAGGCAGTGGGATATGGGGTCTCTATAGTTCAAAGATCCTTTATCTAGAAAGCATCCTACCCTTTGCCATTTACTTGTACTTTGCCAGTTAATTCCTGTAACATACATGGGCAAGTAAGTCTGGCATTTCTTTTAGGAGACTGTGCTGGCAACCTGAAATATTGATGTCCAGCTTCTAGCCTAGTTTAAAAGAGGAAACAGTGCCATAGTTTTTGGTTAGATTTCTGTGACTGAGGGGTAAGCAGTGGTAAAGCTTATTCTACCACTACTCCTGAGAGATCCAGGTTTCCTCATCACTGGCAAGCACTCCATTTAACACACAAAGATGTAGTGTCACAATGCATTAGCACAAGCATTACAGGAGAAAAAAAAACCCCAAAAACTCTCTGGAGTATGAAACATTAAGTATTCGAAGATTGCAGTTTAAAGAAAAAGTTGATGAAAACATAAGTCTGACTTGTGACCCACCTCTGTTCCTCCTCCAAGGAAAAGAACAGCAGAGAGATGGCAGTGTGATTACACTAGCCAGGTCTTTGTGGTACCAACAGCTGCCATGGCTGTTTGCCAGGACACCCCAAAGCTCTACTGCTTCTGAATGTATGTAGTTTTTAAGGCAAAACTATGCAGCACAGGAACATATGGTCACCAATGTCAAGTCAGCGGGCTAAGAACAGGTCAGCTAAGGCTATGTTAACAATTTTGGGTATAAGAGGTCATGAAATAATAGGATCACATTGCAGAGGGGAGACCTAAAGAAAGGGTAGAAAACCAGGTGCAAAATTGCTGTACTGGGCTACTTCAACTCATGAAGTTTAAGAGGGAAAGGAGCCTATCTTCAGCATGGTTGGAGCACACAGCTTACTGAAGCACACAGCAAAGGGTTATGGTCAGATCTTTCCAAGTTAGACCTCCCTTGGTGGGGCTGCTTTAATGCACCATGACAGCGATGATACCAGGGCACTCTAGCAGCCCACCTGATTTCCAGAGATTGGTGAAGGGCACTTTTCCCTTGTAAAAGCTGAAGCAGCTAGTTTAAAAGGAAGGTTAAAGGCAAATATTATGTAAGTACTTGAGAGCAATAGCACAAACAGTAATTTGTTCCCTAAAGCACAGCAACATGGAGGGTTGGCATTGGGAGGGTGGTGAGATGGGCAGGCAGGTGAAAGGACAGCAAATTTGATCAAAGCTCAGGACCTCTTTCCACAGAACAAGGTGGTGTGATTTTCACTGGTGTCATTTCCACAGGAAGGTCTTACAAGGAAGTTGGAGTGTCCTGAGACACTAGAAAGCAAGTACGAACGCCAACGCAGAGTACCTAAATCCCTGCCTTGCAGGGAAGCTTACTTAAGCTGGCGAGGGAGAGATACTGTGGCCAGAGCTTGTCTTTGCCAATGGTGAAAACACAGCCTATAATACTGACATGTCAGCAGGGGCTACTGAAGCAGTGCTCACAGCATCTGCTCCTCTGGATCCCCATAATCATGTAATGTATTACACAAGAGCAGAGAGGGCAAATGAAGATGATGTGTTGATGTAACTCACCAAAATAAACAAAAATATTTTACTTTTTCTCCTTGTTCACCAGGCACTGCCATACTGGAAAGCCACAAAGCTCCTTTTAATATCAGGAAAACTGAGGAGAACTCAAATTAAACAGACTTATAAACTGCTTATAAATGAAATTTATTATTAGCTTTAAAGGCATGGATGCAGTGTTGGAAAACACCTTGTTCCAGGCTTGCAAAGTTTGCTGAGCACAGAGTCAGAGGAAGACTGAAGGAAGAGTCTGGGGAAGGTCAAACTGGTTGCTGTAGTTTGTTTGCATTGTCAAAAAGATGTTCATCATAACCACCATGAAAGAAGTCCCTGTCTCAATGTGAAGAGTTCTACTCAAGAGTTAAAAAAAGTCACACACAGAGACCAGGAGCTGCAGTGGATAAAAAATGCTTCAGTTCAAAGTAATAATAATTTAGAGTGCAGATTCCCTGCCAGGGATTGGATTTCTACAGTTCAGGGAATACGCACTCATGCTGACAGGACTGGTTTGACCTCAGGGAACCTGCAGCCCATGATCCTCACTTTGTTAGATGCAGCTCTTTGGCAGGACTCAGGCTGCCACTGGCCACAGCACCAGCACCTACACTGCTCTGGGGGATTCGAGTTCCTGGGTAGTGTCTCCCAGCAAAATGCTCACCTTTGTATGGGAAGAGATCCAAGCCATCACTTCTATCCTGCCCCATCCATGGTTGTTGTGACAAGGAAACCTGGCCATGCAGGTCAGATGTATGCTCTCCAGACCCACCCCAAAGCTGGGGAACAGGGGCATCTTGCAATTTAAGCACAGGCTGAAATTCTGCTAGTCTTTAACATGCTAATGTGTTTGCATGACAGCTTCTGTGTTGAGGCTGTTCCCAGTTAAAACTGAGTTAAGCATGTAACACCAGAAATTCAGTATCATTCTATATACCTGTCAAATACTCTAACCTTCATACCACCATATTATGTGTTAACAAAGTGTGCTGCCATCAAAAGGAAAAAAGGCAAGGGAAGTAACCCAAAGACTGGAAAGACTGCCATACAAAACTGAAGAGTGTATGAAGAAGGCTCGTTACTCTTTCCTGAGCACAGAAAAGGGCCTGATATATCAACTCCAAGAAGTAAGATTACATGTTACTCATGCTAGGTAGATGCCCAATATGTCCAAGTAATACCAGCTCTAGGAAATAAGGACAAGCAAATAAAAGAGCTCTGGCTGCCTTTCAGGAAGCTGGCTGGTGGTTTTGGAGCCACAACTCCACTGACAATCAGCAGGAGGGGCACCAAGGAAGGGGGACATTTACTCAGAGCCCCAGAGACTGGACAGTAGTTTCTGAGTTTTAATAATTCATTTTTTATAAGAGGTCCTTAGTCACGTATTCAGAAAAGCTGTGTCTGTCAAACCCATGTGCAGAATTTTGGGGATTTTTGGTGAACTTCTTTCAAATTACAGACTTATTAAGAGGGTTTTTTCAACAAAACAGACTAACAGTGGGGACACTGTGGCCAGCCCGAATGACAGATGCTTTCTTTCTTTTGCTCTAGTCTCTCAGCAGGGTGAAAGCCAGAGGCGCTTGTACAGAGAACTGCTGAGAAACTACAATCGTCTTGAAAGACCAGTAGTGAATGACTCCCAACCCCTTGTAGTCGAGCTCCAGCTTTCTTTGCTGCAGATAATTGATGTGGTAAGTTACTTGCTGTTCTGTTCTCTAAGGCACCCATGCAGCATAACAAATCTGATTTCTCATGTAGGGACCATACTTTTGCTCTTAATCAGGCTATCAGAGTTGAGTGCAGACTGTCTTTGGCTAAGCAGCCTCCCTAAATGCTGGAGAACATGCTTTGACACTTTGGAGGAATAAATATCCTCCTAAAAGCACAGCCATCTCTGATACAACATGAGCTGCAAGAAGATTAATTATGTATTTTTTTCCATTTTTTTTTAAACAGACGAATTCAATAAATTAGAAGCCATGTGTTACTACAAATTATTAATGATAAATTCTTCTCAGAGTGATGTGGGATGCGATAACTGAAGACCACGTGCAGTGTTCAAAGCTAGCATCACTGCACTTACACTTTTTCATTAGGAATTGTAATGGCATTGGCCTCTTCTCACATCTTCACCATGCACTTTAGTTGAAGGAGCCTTCCCTGAGATGAGGTTAGAAATACATAAAAGCAAAACCTGGAGGCACAGCCATCTAATTGTCTTGACTGAAACATGCTCTCTCAGAACTGGTGATCTGACCCATTCAAAATTTTAATGTAAGAATCCAGATCCCTTTTATAATTATGGAGAGGATTCTGTATGATAAACCAGGATAAACAGAGAGAATTACTTTCATCTACATGGAAAAAACAAGCCAGAAGAACAATTTTGACCACCTCCATCCTGTCAAAACTGCAAACAACTGAACACATTAGTGGTCCTTTCCTCCTACCCTTTCCATAATTTCCAGTATTATGGGTTGCTTTCACTGTAATGGAAGGTACAAGAAAGAGAGACAGAGAGATGTGCAAACTTTTTTGCATTTGCAAACCAATTTGATGGAAGCCTCACATATTTAAACAGTTTAAAGCCCTCTCAATCTTTCAGATAATGTGTGTTGCATCAGGTGCTCTCCCTGGATTGGTAAGCAGGACCCTGGAAGTCTAGCCCCCAGCATTGTGCCATACAAGTGGCAGGTTGAGCCAGTTATGGTGCTCCTGGAGTCAGGCAGCAGTCACTCAGGCAGGGCAAACAGCTTTCTGTTTTGGAATGTTAGCAACTGCGTTGATCTGGAAGAGAGAGGAGATCAGTACTCTGAACCAAAGTCACTCATTCACAGCAGGAGCTCACAGGAAAGAGCAGAGAAATCCTCCAGCTAATTTCAAGTAAATTTCAGCAGCCAATTCCAGGTTTAGCAGAAACATCTTAGCTCTACAGATCTTGCTCCAGTCCTTCTTTTTCTGATGGTTATTTTCTTGCAGTAATTTGGAGGTTACGGGTGGTAAAGGGGAGATTTTAACCTTAGGGCTGTGACTGTACATTTTCAAAGTGAATCAGTCAGGAGGAGTTACATAAAACCTTTTTTCAGTTGTTTTTCATGTTCACATACGAAAACCTTCCATTCAGGAAATCAGCACTTCTTTAAACACTTTATCTGCATTATGGCAATGTCCATTGCAAGAAATTTAATTCCACACTTTCCTTTTGATTGCTCACTGTAGGAAAGAGGTAATCTAAATGGTCATTCATAGCACAAACAACGCTTTGCTTTTCTCCATCTCTGCACACACTGCAGATGGTAGAGTTTAATCAGCTCAGAGCATTATGACTTGTCTCAGGCTCATGGTCTTGCAAACTGCACTCATGGTGTTTTAAAAAACATCCAGAGTCACCTGAAGTGTTTACCTCACATGATGTGAAAAGGTACCTGTCTCCTCTGGGGAGGAACAGAAAATCCTTTGCAGGTGAGTCCCTGTAGTAGAAAGGTCACTGTGGCATCAAGTGACTAAACCAACCAGCCTGAAAATCCGCAAAGCACTGATCTTGTGGGTCCCTAAATCAGGAAGCAATGCAGGAATATTCAAGCAGGAAGCAGGCCATGATCATGGACACAGCCCCTCAGCCTCCATGTCTGGCTGGATAGACTGAAGCATCTGGATGCTCCAGCTGCTGAAGAAAATGTCTGTTTAAAAGGAGGGTTGTTATAGCCACAGTGATGTAAAGAGTAGCAGACAAGGTACAAAGGAAAGGTAACCTCTATTAGCTGGTGTCATTCCGTGCACTCAGATGGGAGGCTGGGGGTGAGTAGACTATGCCTCCTTAGCTGCCCTGCTTTGCACAATACAAAGGAACTTGTGCACAGTTGCTTCTTACTCGAAGAAGGGGATAGACAGCATGACAGTCTTGCCAGTGGTGTATGCACTAACAAAATGCAAAGCTCCTCTTATGGGAGACTTGTGTGTCCAGCATGCTCCACTACCATAATAGAGCAGGGTATTGGGCAAGGTCCCAGCCTGAGAGGACTTCATCCACCATGCTCCCTGGGGAGGAAACAATGACTCATAGACTCTGGAGTGCACGTAGTTTTTCATCAGTCCTCCTGGTCAAAAGGAAGGGGTTTGAAAGGGCTGGTCAGATCTGGCAGACGAATGAATGGTTACGGGACTGGTGCTACAGCCAGGGAGGGATTTGGCTACTTAGACCATGGGAGTTGCTTTGAGAAACATCGTCTACTGAGGCTAATGAGGTTCACTTGTCAGAGAAGGCGAAGAGCATCTTCAGTCATAAGCTTGCCAAACTGGTGAAGAGGGCTTTAAAGTTGCTAGGGGAGAGGAACATCAATCCATCCCATTCCTACCAGATTGATACCAGTGCCAGCAAGAGATGCCCAGCACCTGGAGAGGGATCACAGGTCAGCAGGAGAACACCTGAAGAGCATCACAAGGAATTCCTGCCACTCCAGCCAGTAAGCCAGCTTCACTGGGGCCCAACTTAAATGTGTCTATGCAAATGCACACAGCATGGGGAATAAACAAGAGGAGAAACGTCCTCCATTTGAGTGACAATTGCCACAGCTAGAGGCTGCCTGTCGGCAGACTCTGTGCCAGAAGGTGAAGGTGAAAAGCCAGAGGGAAGGCAACACGCAGCCCTGTGGTACCTTCTGTCTGACACAGCCTTCACAGTGTCAGTTTCTTCACATAATCTCTGTCCAGCCTGAATTACTTTAAGAAGTTGCTTTCCTTGCTTTTGAGTGTTTTTGTTTCATGAGCTGCAGAATAAAGAAGAGCGAAACCCACTCTGCTTTCCCATCTGAGTATGTACGTATTCATTCTGGTGAGTATTAATGTAGCACAGACACTATTTCTCCCTTTGTGAGGTGTGATTGGAGGCAAGAGGTGCTGCAGGGCTGTGAGCTGGCCAGTGCTGCCACTGGTCCTGCCAGAGGGGCAGAGGAGGGGCAGAGGTCCCAGGTACTGCCCTAAGAGCAAGCCAAGCTGTTAGCCTTGTAGCTGTATTGTCTGCTAGGACAGAGGCTTTCTAGGGCTGGTTCTGCAGGTAAACTGTAAAAACAGAAAGTTCAAGGGTTAAATTTCTAGCTTGAATTCACATCTCCCTACCTAAACTGGCTTTACAGCAGCTAGGTCATCCCGTCTCACCTTTCAATCCAGCACCATTACATGTTCAAATCTCTGTGCTAGGTGTTAAGCAGCAAACCCAGATCAACAGACAAGTGATTCAAGGCAGTATGAATATGCCATTACACATAAGCACATGTTCACATATTATTTCCAATATAGTATCAGTATTCACTAGATTAAACCGTAATCCTAACAGTACATCCTGTACAAATCTTTTATGGACAGATAACTTCAACAACGTAAGCTTGACTATGCAAGATTCAAAAAGACAGAAAAGAAAGAATTAATAAGGAGAGGATCATAAAACGGGTATTCAGGTTAGAAGGAGGTGATCCTGCCCCTCTACTCTGCTCTCGTGAGACCTCACTTGGAGTACTGTGTACAGTTCTGGTGTCCTCAACATAAAAAGCACATGGAGCTGGTGGAGCAAGTCCAGAGGAGGACCACGAGGATGATAAGAGGACTGGAGCAACTCCCTTATGAAGACAGGCTTCTTGACAACACTGGGCTGTTCAGCCTGAAGAAGAGAAGACTGCGTGGAGATCTCACAGCGGCCTTCCAGTATCTGAAGGGGGCCTATAACGATGTTGGGGAGGGACTCTTCATTAGGGACTGTAGTGGTAGGACAAGAGGTAATGGGTTAAAACTTAAGCAGGGGAACTTTAGGTTAGATATAAGGATGTTCTTCACAGTGAGGGTGGTGAGGCACTGGAATGGGTTGCCCAAGGAAGTTGTGAATGCTCCAACTCTGGAGGCGTTTAAGGCCAGGCTGGACAGAGCCTTGGGCGACATGGTTTAGTGTGAGGTGTCCCTGCTCATGGCAGGGGGGTTGGAACTATATGATCTTAAGGTCCTTTCCAACCCAAACCATTCTGTGATTGTATTATAAAGCATTGATAAGTGCTAGAGAGAGAATCTGACTTTCAACTCTTTCAGATTAAAATATCTTTCTTTTTCCTCTTCTAGGAATGCCTTTGCATTCAGCTGTCGGCTTCCTATATAGCCTTTGTGAGCTGTTCACTCTGTTTTATCTTGTATAGAGCTACTCTACCAAACCATGTATCTTTCCACAAAGTTTTTTCTTCACCAGAAATTTGAGTCTTATCTGGCAAGAGCAAATTCAGTGAGACTACAGCAGTGAGACTGATGCAAAATCATGTAACTGAGAAGGAAAACAAACTGGATATCATTATAAAAGCTGAAAATCAGTAATTAATCATCATGAATAGGAGTTATTAGAATCCCAGGCAGAAAAATTACAGAAAGGTTGCTAGACCAACAGATTCATTGAAGTTAAATCCCAAACTCTTTCTCCCGGTCACAAAACTTACGTAGTGTGATGAATTTTGAACTCTGGGAAGAAAATTAAATAAATTGGCCTCTTCATTAGCACAGAAGCAGCTTGAAGAAGGGAAAGCCAGGGCTAATGGGGCCATGAATTATTATTTTGCCTGCCCTCTAAGTGCCAGGCATTATGAAAATGTCAGTCTCACTAAGCCAATTAAACATGACACGTGAGTTAGCTAGCACAACAAAGTTAAGCATCATGGATATT